CACCTTAAGAAATAAAGAACTTATAGTGAAAAAGCTGAAAAATTTAAATCAGAAATCTTGAAATTCAAGATATTTGTTGCTATAGCAACCAGAATTTTCAACATAGGAAGAAAAGAAAAAAATGTGCATAATCTCCAGACTGCCATCTACCCATATTTCAAGTTTCATAAAAATATTTTCAGTACTTTTTGAGTTATCACTGGATCCAGTTTATGTGTTAAATGTGCCATATTTTCAGACTATTTGTTGCCATAGCAACCAGAATTTTCAACATAAAAAGAAAAGAAAAAGATGTGCATAATCTCCATACTGCCATCTATCCATATATCAAGTTTCATAAAAATATTTTCAGTACTTTTTGCGTTATCGCGGGATCCAGTTTTGTGGACAGACGGACTGACAGACATACAGACAGACGGACGGAGGGAGGGTAAACCTAAAGCCCCCTCCGGTTAAACCGGTAGGGGACTAATAACAAAGTTACAGCCAGTAATAGCCAAAAAAAATGACAATTTCAATAATTTCACCTTCAAAGTCAAGGTCATTTATGAGTGAAGGTCAAGGTCTGTCTGGTTATATTTAAGGGATATCTTTGAAGATAATTATGTTCAAGTTTGAGGACAATCCATTCAAAAATAACAAAGTACAGTCAATAATAGCAAAAATAAGCAAAATTTGGACTTTTGACCTTAAAGGTCAAGGTCATTTCTGGGTTAAGGTCAAGGTTAGTGTGATCTACGGAAAGGTCTTGTCCCAAGGGTTGTTGTGGCCAAGTATGAAGACAATACACTAAGAACTAAAAAAGTTATAATCCAAGTACAAGTTTGCGGACGGCAACAGCAATGCCGCCAGGACTATAACAATACCTCTACTTTTTTTTTCAAAAAAAAGTTGAGGTAAAAATTGAGCATGTTAGGAAAGTACAGGAAACAAATGTAATCTTTCTTTAGGGCTCATTTTATTTCCTGGGGAAAATTCTCTACACTGACCTACAAATGACCCTGCAGAAAGATAAATAGTATGATGTAATATGGTGTCCAAATTCTAGAGCTGAAAGTTATTTACACAAACAGAAGATGATGAACAAAATTGCATTAATATTTTTGTGAACACTTAATAGTACCAGTCAGGGTTCTCACTAGGACTTTAAAACATGGAGTCCATGGACTCCCAAACGAGTCCAAAGGCGCGTCGCAATAAATATGTTAACAGTGCTCAAAATAGCATTGCTGATTTTTTGAGTCTTAAAGAGACTTTCAAAGTTTATAGTTATTCAAAACAAACTCTGAACTACATACCGTATAAGTGTTTTTTTCTGCGGGCTCCAAATTCTGCGGTTTTTCCAAATTTTGGCATGTTTTTATTTCTGCGGTCTTTATTTCTGCGGCACAGTCTTTGGACAAAACGTGATTTAAATTCTGCGGCTCATCTTTTCAAAGTCTAAGTCACATTACTCTTCCTATTTTATTTGCATTTACACATTCGTATTAAAATTTTGTTTATGGTCGTCACTGCAAAACTATATAGTAATTACAAACAATTATATTGTTTGCTTGCAAACAAATATAATGTGCAACAATAAACAACATGCATCTTTTGATCAGCGTGAAATGACGTGTGAAAAATATACCCCGGTAGTATCTTTAATTTAATAAAATTGATAGAAGTTTATCGTAAATCAGACAACAATTAATGTATACGACGATTATTTAGCAGTATAAGGGTTAAAATGATTTTAATGATTTAGTAGTTAACAAACCTTTTTAACGTACAGGCAAACACTATAAAGTTTCCAATATCTTTATTCATAAATTGGCATAATTAACAGTAGGTACATCCTTTCAAGCATATATTACATACTTAGCCGAAATCAATTTTATATAACTCGATGACCCGCTAACCTTTATTAATCCGTTAGTCGTTATTACTTATTACTTTAGATGAAACAGGTCATAATGTAGGACACATATCGTTAAAAAAACATGGAGAAATATTCTGCGGTTTTTGGGGAGGCTATGCCGACCCAATGTCAATAACTGTTCGTCAAATCTTACTGCCGCGGTAATCAGGTCAAAAAATAGTACCTTGATTTTTTCTAAGCTGACTCATCACTTCATCACAGACATTTACAATATGAAAATATTTTCATTCTTTAATTTCATATCTGCAATTTGTAAAGATAATAAATTCTCTGAAAAAATCTTGATTTTTGTTAAATCACTACTCCGTGACGTCATACTGCTGCCGCGGTAATCAGGTTTAGGCATACGTACGTCTGTAATAAATAGTTCTGGTATGAAAAAAACCCTTCAAAATAATAACTTTATCAATATTTTTTTAACAAAAAGCATATAAATGAAAATTTATAAGTAAATGCTTTAATTTAGTGGCAAATATTCTTTATTATTTTTTGATAACAATTTTTCCATTACTACGCAGCGACCAACTGTTTATGACGGGTCATTAACTAGAACGTTCCAACACCGTATTCTCCATTGTGTACACCGGTCTTACTGACGATATTTAGAGACCGGTGTATATACAATGCCGTATTCTCGATATCATGCATGTTCTTTTGTTGTTATAAAACCATTAAAAGTCCTTAAATATTTTTTTAAAGACAAAATAATTGTAACTGTCGCTTACATCAGAGACATGGATCATGCTTGCGTGATAACTAAGGGAAAAACTAACTTATTAGTACACCCCAGGAGGCTGTAACGCGGAAAACGGTCATTAAACCGCTATATCATATAGCTGTTAGTAAAATATTTTGCATACATTTAACTAAAAAATTCACTGATTGGTGATGAGGCAATAGGTTTGAAACATTATATTCTTGAACCATTATCGCCGTGAAAAAAAAAAACTATTTAACTACAAAACCCCTATAAGGACCTTCCGACAAAATTCCAGCACAATATTACATTTTACATTAGCAAAATAAAAAAAAGCAATACTTAATATTTTCATCTTAATAATTCATTAATCAAACTTTTAACATAAAAGTTATATTTGGGCAATTGACAGATTTCCCCTACTCTGATCTTTTATTTGTATAGGAATAAATTTAAAACGTGTGCTCTTTTGTTTAGGAATATTTTTGTAGTGAAAGTCTTATATATTCACTGATCTCATAATTAGAATTAGACAGGTCAGGGATTTATACAACCAGTTTGTTTACTTAACTATGCTCATTTTAATCCCAATAGAAACATTCAAATATTTGGGGTAAAAAACATGACCAAAGTACCTAGTAGTTGTTTACCCGGTGGTGATCCCATTAAACTGATTATAGATTCGAATTGATTAGAAAACACAAATAGAACATGTGTTCCGTACAACAAAATCGGGAAGTAAAGTGAACAGTTAATTGACAGAAATATGTGGTCAAATATGTTTTAACAAAGAAATAATTATTTCAGAGAAAGACGCAAAGATCAGTATGACCCCGTATTGTGTAATTAGAAAGTTTATTCAATTCTAGGGCATACATCGTAAATTTTGATAGTCCATGTGTAATAAAATTCAAATTTTCAATACAGATTATGAGATACATAAAAAATTTAAAGAATAAGAAGCTTTAATTAAAAAAAAAAAAAAAAAAAAAAAAAACAAAAAAAAAAAAAACCGCATACATATACAAATTACTTACAGTCGAGCATCGGGAAGTCATTAAACATATCTTACGAACTTTAATTTGAAAACGATATTTGCGGCGCGCTGAAGTGATTAATGTTTATTTGAAAAATAAAAAAAAAGAACTTTTATGTTTGTGTTCTAAAAATAATCGGCGGCATAAGAGGAATTTCTTATTCATTTTTCAACACTTGAAAAATTACTACAGAAAAATGTGTTGTTGTTTTTTTGTTTTGTTTTCAACAAAAGTGAGTGTGTTTTAAGTTTATTTATACTCGGCGCCGGAATAACCATATGTCCGAGATTATAGCATCTGGGACGTCTTTTTCAAGCAGATTCTTCCTGGAAGCCCATTCTTCGTTCTTTGGTGGTAAAGGAGACGACAATACCGTCAAGGCATCAAACTTTCTGACTGACGACAACAAAAACGGCATCTATTTAGCGCCAAACCTCCAGAGTAAGTCACGACAGGTCAACCAATCACCTCTGGTACTTATGATGACTTGACTATGTTCCTTCCGTGTGCCTTCTCCGCGACGTGCACGCCTCTGGAGGAAATTGGAGAAGTTTCAACAAAAAACTTCCAAAACACGCCATTTATAACACCATTCATAGCACTGAAGGCTTCGATGTTCTCATCTATTTGCGGGAAATGGTCGACAGGGAAAACCCTACGTAATAACCGCACACCCTGTTAACAACAGATTTTCCGCAGTATATATTTCAAGCTAGTGAGGTTTAAAAAATACACAAGCTATCGATTAACTACCATAAGTTGGTTGAGTGTTGGCGGTAAAAAAAGAAGATATAACTTCCTGATCAATTTTCACTTAGGTTGATTCAGTTTTTGAATAAGCTTTGCAGATATGTATTTTTTCAAGAAATATTTTAGCTTTAATATTATCCGACGCCGTCAGTAATGAAATGGGAATAATTTTCTGAAACGTGATTTTATTCGAGATTTGCTTCTGGAGAAGACAACCTTCTGTCCGTTAGAGCATGAATATTAATACTCATCACAAGACAGTATCTTATTGATCTCAATTATGGTACATCTAAACGTGTATAATTTTTATGTTCAATAAAATGTTGCATCACTTGCAGTTGTTGTTATCATTCAATAATATTAAAATGACATAAAGTATTTATGATGAACAGTCCTAGAATATTTTTGACACAGGAACTTGAAATTCTATCAAAATAACCAATATTAATTATAATATCCAAATATACCCCCTATATACTATAAAAAATTTTATAGTATATAGGGGGTATATTTGGATATTATAATTAATATTGGTTATTTGAATAGAATTTCAAGTTCCTGTGATTTTTTGATAAGGAACCGTCAGTTTGTAAAATGTTATTGTTATCTGATAATGAACAGTCGTCATACTTGCTGGTATGTCATTTATTATTGACAGTTTAGGTTTTTCAAAATTTGTATGATTAACAGTCCGAATGTAGACCTCAATGAAATGTTCTGGAATATTAACAAAATGAATAGTCAACCATAATTATTAACCATATATATGAATGGTTGAACACAACAGTAAGGATAAATAGCGCAATGTGCATATCTTTTTATTTTGGTAGCATATTTTTTAAGCAAAAAGAAAAGACACTATAAGTCTGAAACATTCTCTCATAGCCTCCCCATCAGTACATTCAGTGCTTTGATTATTTCTGCGGTGCTGAAACTGACCGCAGAAAACGCAGAAATAAAGTCACCGCAGAAAAAACCACTTATACGGTAGTATAATTATTGTTTTGTTGTTAATATTTTTCATGAAATTATTTCATTTTAATGCATCAACACATGGAAATCGTTTTTTTTTTTTTTTTTTTTTTTCACTTTTATACCAAATCAAATTTTATTCTGGTTAAATAAGTCCACTCTATAGACAAAAAGTTTATATTTGACGCACGACGCGAGAAAACCGGTCTTAATGACACTACAATAAATGTGCACTACAGCCATTTAAATGACGTCACTCTTATTGCGTATACACATGTAAACACGGAAATGCTTTTTATCGTGACTGTTATTGTTTTTCAAGTGTATTCAGAGGAAAGTTTATATGATGGAGGAGGAGTTAGAAGTAAGTGTCTATAATGTATAATTTATGAAAAACAGCAACAAAAATATATCATGCATTTTTATTTATCAGAGCATCTAATTGATAAATATTTACTGTTGGTAATTTAACACTGACGTTTACAGTACTGTATAAAAAAAAAGTATGCTTTGAAATACAGAAGAATAAATTAATCGGCAACATACATCGGTGCCTTTATATAGAATAAATTTACGTTAACTTGTCTTGATCTTAATTAAATCAAAGGCTATTGTAGGGGTTTACCAATCGATCTCATATTTTATAGGCAGATCTAAATTTAGGTTAATTTAAGAATAATCTAATCAGTCGCAAGTTAAATTAATACTCTTTTTCATAATTCATTTACAATATGTTTCTATAATTCATTTAGAACATGTAAGCAATAAAATGATATATGTCCAAAATATGCTACGTCATCATGGAATATAAAGTTTTTTAGATTTAATAGTGTCTTTTATTGATTAATTAGCACGCTAAATTATTGCTGAGAGTACAGCTCAGTGGATTATGCTGTGGCCTCACAACAAATCGAGTTCGTATCCTGACTGATGCCAATTTTTTTATATCCGTTTTTTATTCATTTTTTTGTCATTCATAGGATCTGAAATCCCTCTACTCGGATTATTTTTGGGAGAACACTTATCAAGTCACAAAACAGATATTTCGAGAGATACTGACTATGATTATTCAGAGGTGAAAAAATGTGACACTAGCAACGACGGCACTGCGGGACCACGTACTTCTCGCACAAAAGGTAATAATAGGAAATGAACATTAATGTAACAATACACTTATAAATAATTTAAACAAATATCTGCCATGCTTGAATTTTTTCCAAGCGTATTTTTATAAGATCAAATAAGATTCTACTAAAGAATTTAAAAGAATGCATGTGAGCCACTGATTTCTATTCGGACGATATCATGATTTCTATGACCGTGATTACAAAAACCGTTGTTTTAAAAACTTCAAATTTATGTTTTATTTAGGATATCCTTTGTTGTAATTTTATTGGAACGTGATCTATATAATGAGTACATAAGACGTAGTGTTGCCACACGTGACTCGGAGGAAAAGTTTGTACAGCTTACGTTTATCCTGGTATTTTTTTCAGTTTGTAGCAAAATATTTACAATGATATAAGGGACAAGAGGTTTAATATATACCCAAAACTACCATCTTACACAATCAGATATACATCAGTACTAGGGATATACTACTAAAATATTACAACCACTACTTGTCAACTTGTATAGTATCAGTACAAATACCAGTACTGGTCCACCAGTATGTTTGGTTTTGAATCAAATAAAAACCAGTGCTTTAACATTTTAGGGATTTTACTATCATTTTACCAAGTCTGTACACGTTATATTTTAGGACAAAATAAAAACCGTTACACTGGTTACGTTGATTATTTTTTATGTTGGGCGATAAGACAGGACAGAATGATAGAAGAGTACCATATGCAAGTACCAGGTACTGATTCAAGAAATCTTCATTACTAAGGTTTTACTTACTTCTAGTTACTCGGCAATCTGAACTGATTTTGACACTCTTATCTGTTTTCCCAAAGACAAAATATGAACACTGTAGTATTTTTAAATACTTCAAATCGCAGCAGGTAATTAATGCTTTTCAATATTACAAAATAATTTAAATTTTCTTTTAAAGACATGCGCGGTGTTAAGTTGATGCGAGATTCGCACATCTAAAGGCATGATTTAGAAACACTTCAACAGCTGGCCGATGTAACAGAGAAGTCATCTACAACAAACAGCCGGTATGTTACCCCAAGCGGTCATGGCGGCAATGGAAACCCGTTCTTGAGGGATTTTTCAAACCAATTATTGGTATAAGGTAACCTATGTTTATCTCATTTAAATGTAAATGTTGAAACTCAGAACTCCAGACTCAGAAAATATCTTAAACATGAAAATTTAAGGGTTAATTGTTTCTTTAATCGTTTATAAGTAGCTTTATTTTCTTCTTTGATTAACTTTATATTTTGAAGACAATGTAGATACTGTATAAATGGTCCTTAAAGAGTTATCTGTTAAAATACTTTATAAAATTAAAAAAAGCAAAAAAACACACACAAGGAAATGGTTCTGTAATCACATATTAATAGAAATTGTTGTTACATAAAATGTCTCCACATGTATATTCTTCGTGATCAGCATAAATTATTCCGGAACAAAATATTATGCAGACGGAATTCGCAACATATATCCAGCTAATACACTTTAATGCGAGATAAATTCTGTAACATTTGTTTCTGGTTTAATTAGGTTTATATGTACGGATGGTCTTATTTTACATTTACAGTTCATGAAAATCAGTCATGTGACCAAGTTTACTGTCATGCTCTAAAACTGTCCAAGCTCTTCTATTCTTTTAACTCTCTGAGTTGTAAATGTGCTCTGAATAATGTTTTTTTTTATTTATTTATTAAAGCATATTAGGAAATAAGTTTGCTGCATTTTTTATTACGAACATTTATCATTTTTCTATAGAAAATTCCTGCACTTCCGTTTCCTGTCAAACATACCGAGTGTTGTTATGGCCAAAATAACACCTGGAGGCGAGGAATATTAGATTCAAGTCTTGAAAGAACACGGATTCCGGATCAGTTCATGTGTCCGTCCAAGCGTTATTACGCCCGTAGGAATGTCAGCAGTGTCGCGAAAGTGTGCATGCGTTCGTCAGTCAAGACAGTTAATCATATTATCAGTGCACTGTTACAACAACTGTTGTTGTTTGTTGTTAAAATACGGCCATTGTTTCTGTTATAAAGAAAAATAGAACTTATTATTTAACTGTCTAATATTGTCTTTTTATAAGTAATAAACGTTAAACGTAGACTTATATACTGTTGTTGATTTATTACTTTGGGTATATACCTAAAAATTGTCTGATTTCAATCTATGCGACCCGTGCATACTAAAACCCACCAACACACTTGTGTCTTCTGACCGTGGTCGGCAATATTTGTTTTTCAAGCAGTATATAGTCTGAAAATTTCCCGTAAAGATGATGAATAATTTTGTTCACATTAAAGGTATATAGTGTGGTAATGGTTGAAAAAAAACAACAATTATTTGCGCCATGTATGACTCGCTTATGGGTGTTGTTATAACGTTGCTAAGCAACGCTAAAAATCGCAATAAACGGGAAGTCTATAGTTTACACAACTTCATTACTAACCTTTTTACCGCTAGAACATACTAATGGAGTAAACTTACGATATAAATATAATTGCTGTTTTAATTTTCCAATTTACCACGTCAAACGTCAATTTAATTTTTCAACGTCATTTATTTACAAAGTGATCAAATATATGACGTTCTTTAAATAAGTATATCTCAAAAACTAACCCTTTGATTTTAAAACAGTTTTCACCGTCATATTCAGAAAGAAATTCTCTACAATAATAAGTGAAAAACCAAATTTCGAAAAAAATGTCATTAAGACCGGTTTTCTCGCGTCGCGCCTCATTTGTAAAAAAAAACGTAAATGTATATAGGCAGCGTTTAGCGGAATGAATAGGAAAATCGTGTTCAGCTTCACACAGTGTGTAAGAGATTCATCCGATCGATAATTATTTAAGCAAATATCTTCAAAATGGGGGCAAATTGAAGATCGATATTTGAAAATTTAATGCTGATTAAATAATAAAGGAACAATTCATTCTCATGTTTGGCTTGGAAACTGAGAATTTTTGCGAAATTTTAGGGTTTCTGAAATTCCGGCGAACATGAAATCGCCGATGTTCAGGATCAATTTTCGGATAGAATCTTAATATCAAAAGAAGCGTATGTGTATTTTTGTTAGTTGTCCTGGCATTTCGGCACAATATGTTAAATTATTAATACTCTTAAGTTATAGAACGTTTTTGCAAGAATGAAACTAAAGCAAAATTTTGCATAGAAAATGCCGAAAATTTCGACAATAATTCAAAATTACACTCATTTGTAATTTGAGAAAACAGTCTTTAAACTTGCGGCGTAAATAGTCGATATTTTTATCCTTTTGTCGGTAAAATTTGCTAATTTCCAATCAACTGTTGATCAAAGATGTTAAATTATCACCTCGTGTTATATCTGGTAATTACATGTACAGCGCGTGTATACATTAGTCTGATCTCTATTGCGTGATAATGATCGAAAGCGTTATCGCTGATTGGCTAATCGCTTCACGGGTCGATGTGCATAGGACCGCCTACCTATAGACTGACACGCGCTGACGTATTTGTGTCTTTGTGGTAATGTTGATGCGTCTCCAGGCAAAATTAAGCGTACGTGGAATCCTTGCTCTGAAATATTTGCGTCCAGCTGTAATAAACATGTGTACCGGGACGCAGAAATAAGCGTCCCCGAGAACACTGCCAGTAATAAATGTTTTTCTATACAATTGAACTTTGCCAAAGTGAAGTAGTGTCTAGTGAGGTCTTATTCTAGCATGTCAAATGAAAGACAGTGTGCTGATATGTTTACTGTTCAGATACAAACCACATGACCTCAAATCATTTCTTCAAGATCTCTGAAAAGCAAACAGGTCATGAAATTAAGACTTTCTGCCAGCTATTGAATCTTTCTTTTAGGAAAATTGCATAACATGTACACATATATGGAAGACATTCCAACGCGAGTTGTTTCCCTTTCATTATTAAACTATAATTTGAAGAAATGCCATGGCCTGGTGCATTTTAGCTTTAGCATCCCCTAAAAAGGGGGCAATCAAGTTAATATGACCAACCTTGATAAAAGACTACATAAGAATGCTACATACAAAAGTTGGTGGTCATCCATCAATTAGTCCTGTAAAAGGAGACGTATATAAGTTTCTTTTATTTTTAGATAAGCTGCCCCTATAAGTGGCAAATCAAATTTATATGAACAAATTTGATAAAAGACTACCCAAGAATGCTAGAGACAAAGTTTGGTGATCATCCATCCATTAGTTCAGTAGGAGAAGCTGTTTAAAGTTTTTTTCTATTTAAAGCTCTGGAAGCCACTAAAAGGGTCCAATCAAATTAATTTGAACAAATTTGATAACAGACTTTCTAAGGTTGCTACAGACAAAGTTTGGTGATTATCCATCAATCTGTTCAATACAAAAAATGTTTTAAGGTTTTCTATTTTTAGCTATAGAAACCCCCTTTAAAGGGGACCATTTTAAAAAAGGGAGAAAATTTTTTGTTTAAAAGATACCTAATATACTACAGACAAATTTTTGGTGATCACCTTCTTTTAATTTAGTATAGAAGTTTTTTTAAAGGGTTTTCTATTTTTAGCTTGTTGACCCCTAAAAGGGGGCCAATTGAAATAAATATGAGCAAAAAAAGTTTTGACTTTTACAAGGAATGCTACAGTAAGCCCAAAATTTTGGGTACCGGAAAATTTCCCCCAGCTTTTTCAGAGAAGAAAGGATTGTTGACGCATGACGACGGAGCATCCACCTTTGATACTAATAACTCACACTGAACCCTCGGTTCTGGTGAGCTAAAAAGGTATGTCATTAGGTCAAAATCTAGATCAGCTGAAAATAAAAGTTCAATTTTACATGTAAAACCGTGCATATGGTCAAAATTTCATAGATGTACATCAAAGGACTAGAAAGAAGGCTACTAGGTCAAAATCTAGGCCAGCTGATATCAAAGTTCAATTTTACATCTCCAAATCTCATAGCTGTACATTAAAGGACAAAAATGTACGTCACTTGACAAAATCTAGGTCAGCTGATATAAAAATTCAATTTTGCATCTCAAACAGTGCACATGGTCTAAATTTCACTGTGTCCCCTTGGGTAGAGATATAGGTCCACAAGGCAATGTTTCATGTTGACTATCTAAGCTCTGTCTTTCTCCTATTCCAGAACATATTTAAATTTGGTTTCTGTTTTTACTATATGTACATAATAACAAGAGCGATCAGTAATCACATGTGTCGCCTCATGATGGCCAATTTCATGTTGGGACAAAGTTTGTGACAGACGGACAGACAGACGGACAATGCACAACTAGACTTGGTAATGATCATTCCTGTAAAGTTTGGATGAAATTGCACCAGTAGTTTATGAGGAGTAGTCCGGACAAGCTTTTGCGTATCAAGCAACACACAGAAAAAACACCTTTTTATCAAAGGGCCATAACTCGGCCAAAAATCATTCAACCAGAAAACCCGTGCATTATGCGTAAGGACTTGAGCTACAGATCAATCCTGTAAAGTTTCATTGAAATTGCTTTAGTGGTATAAGAGAAGTAGTCTGGACAAACTTTAAAAATAAAAATTATTAAGGGGCCATAACTCTGCCAAAAATCATTGAACCGGAAAATGCTGACAATATGCACAACTAGACTTGGTACTGATCATTCCTGTAAAGTTTGGATGAAATTGCACCATTAGTTAATGAGGAGTAGTCCGGACAAGCTTTTGCGTATCTGGCAACACACAGAAAAAACACCTTTTTTATCAAAGGGCCATAACTCGGCCAAAAATCATTCAACCGGAAAACCCTTGCAATATGCGCAAGGACTTGAGCTACAGATCAATCCTGTAAAGTTTCATTGAAATTGCATTAGTGGTATAAGAGAAGTAGTCCGGACAAACTTTAAAATTGAAAATTATTAAAGGGCCATAACTCTGCCAAAAATCATTGAACCGGAAAATGCTGACAATATGCACAACTAGACTTGGTACTGATCATTCCTGTAAAGTTTGGATGAAATTGCACCAGTAGTTTATGAGGAGTAGTCCGGACAAGTTTTGTGACGGACAGACGGACAGACAGACGGACGGAGAAGTGATCCCTATATGTCGCCACTACTCCGTAGAGGCGACACAAAAATCAATGACCCCGGGGTGTGGCCAATTTTGACCCCAGGGCTATAATTTGAACAATCTTGGTAGAGATTTAGTACATAATGTTTCATGCTAAATCTCTAGCCTCTTGCCTTTGTCAATTTCAGAGAAAATTTTTAAGGATTTACTTTGTACATACAAGGAAAACCTATGACTGCCGGGCAAGGCTAATTTTGACTGTAGGGGCTACCCCTGTAGATTAGAACAGCTTTGAAAGATAAGATAAGTAAATTTTATTATAATGACATTGTGTTATGTACATACATAATAACGATACATTTTTATTTTTACAACACCCGGCCACGTTGGGCCTACAAGTCACTTAATTATTTAATCATTTTCAAAAATATACAATTTATAACATAATTTAGATATTAACTAATTATATACATGCACGAACAAATAGTGATTTAAATGTTCTTGGACATAATAACATCTGCATTATAAGAGAAATAGGAAGTATACAAGTTTACTTTTTTCCAATTACTTTCGGTATCAAATCACATATATGATACATATACAGTTGTCATTTGAAGCTTTGAAAGAGGACCTATAAAATTAATGATATAATATACCAAATATCTAAGCCTTGTACCTTCAGACTAAAATATTTTCAAAGTTTTCACTATATGTACATTATAGTGAAAATAATATCAAATATCTGTTTGTTTGTTTCATTTTACGCCTTTTCCCAACGGTATTTCAGTCATATAGGCAGGTAGTTTCCTAACCATCGTTCCTGGAGAGTTACACCAGTACAAGACTACCTTCCTCCGTGCGAAACTACCAAAGCATCTCCCGGGGATCGAACCCACACCAGAGAGATAACTGGATTAGAAGTCATCGACTCTAAACCCCTCGACCATGGAGGCGGTTAATCAAATATCTAACCTCTAGCCTTTGTCAATTAAGAGAAGAAGATTTTTTAAAGATTTTACTATATACATAAAAGGAAAACCTTGGGGGGAGCCAATTTTGACACTAGAGTCAAAATTCCCACAATTTTGGTAGAGGACCTATCGATGATATTATATACCAAATATCAAAGCTCTTAGCCTTGTACGAAGTTTTTTTACTATATTTAAATAATGAAAATCAATGAACCCCGGGGGCGGGCCCAATTTTGACCCAGGTGCTATAACTTGAACAATATTGTTAAAGGTCAACCAGACAATGCCTTATGCAAAATATCTATGTTCTAGGCCTTTTGGGTATTTACAAGATTTTTCTAATAATACTTCTGGCCCTTCATGTCAAGTTTGGTTGAAATTGGAGTAGTGGTTTTTCACAAGATTATTTTTTAAGTTCACTATATATAATCTATATAACACATTGCACACACACACAGGCACACACACACACACACACAGGTGAATCTCTATATCGGACCACATAGCAGATGCTGCTGTGGCATAAATATCATAATTATTCCAGTATCATACTAATTTATTCATTCATCTAATAAGTATTAATGTTCTTATAAAATGTTAATATACCGTCATAATCAACTTAATTAGTTTTATGATTACTGCAACAATATTGACTTACATTTAAGGCCATCCATCCAACAAATCTTGTACATCTCCATATCCTATGTAATGATGATTCCTTAACAGCCACACAGGGGAACTCTTGTTCGCCTACAATTAACAAACTACTGCAGTAAACTTATCTTTATCCTTAATCACTAATATTTTAAATGATTCCTTTAAACTAGGAAATGTTTTTTTACCTGTTCTCTATTTAACATTGAAAGATAAACATAAATAACCGCTCAATGGATACAAAATTAATTCTCAATGATGCTGAAATGCTTAATTATAATTGAGCATGTTCAATTTTCTTGCTGCTAAACATGTAAATTAATCAAAATATATTTTGCAACAAAATAGTATGTCCCATACGTTTTCAGAATGACCTGGAAATTTCTACAAAATTTCCAAGAGAGTATACTGTATCTCTCTCTATTTATTTCTAAAATAAACAAGAGCAATCAGTTATCAAGGAACATGCCTGCCAAGTTTCATTAAATTTGGCCAAGCGGTATTGGAGGAGAAGTCATTTGAATGAAAAAGTTAAAGCAAGCACAGACAAATGGATGGATGACAAACCACTGACGACAGGCAACACGGTGCCACAAATGCTCACCTTGTCACTTTGTTACAGGTGAGTTAAAAATTGATAAGCCCCATGGCAGGCATTATTTGAACAATCTTTGTAGAGGACCACTAGATCATGTTACAAACCAAATATCAAGGCTCTACCACCACCTGGATTTTTACGAGAGGATATTTTAATATTTCCCTATATAATTTTATATAAAACTGAGGAGCCCCTTGATAATCTTTGTAGAGAACCTCTAGATCATGTTACATACCAAATATCAAACTTGTAGGTCTTGTGGTTTTTGACAAGAAATGTTTTAATATTTTTTTTTTTCAAATGATAAGCCCCCTGGCGGGCCCATTTTTATCCTAGGGGCATAATTTGAACAATATTTGTAGATGACCACTAGATAAAGTTACATAATTATTATCAAGGCAAACGCATTGTAGATTTTGATAAGAAGATTTTCCCCTTTTGAACTATATAAAACTGAGACTTTCATAATGTCTCTAAAATTGACATGGATAAGAAGAATTTTAATGACAGTAATAATAATACCACATACTTTAATTTTGTATTGTTTGGTTTTATTAACCTGTCAATTACATACTGATTACACGGTCGATGCACACAGTATATTAATCTCCGGTAGATTTTCTGTAAGTTCCGTAAGATAGACGGTGTACGATGGAATTTAATTTAATTTTTATCTCTAAACTAATAGTACTCAGCGTTATAGCGCAATCGGGTAAAGCACGAGTTTATAATCTAAGTATCACACGTGTTTTAAGTTCGAGACCGCGTTGGTCCATGTTTTTCTTATTAATACTTTCAACATTATTGAAGCTATATATTATTTTATTTTATGTTGTTTGGTTTTTTTTATGTTTTACTTAATTTTGTAATGTCTATACTCTTTTTAAATAACATGTTTTAAGAATTCATGTTTAAAATTGAAACGGATTAAAATCAATAAATGTATTTTCAATGCCGTAAAACACACTACAAATCTGTTCCATTAAAGTATACTGCAAAAATAAAGAAAGAGTACTAAAACAATGGCAACAGTAAGGATCGAACCACAGACCTCTCATCAGACCTATCAGGCATTCTCTTAACCGACTGTGTTATTGTGAATTAACGAAAACCTTCACATTACGCTGGCGTGACTTTCAATCCATGACTAATATACATTAATTCTCGTAAACTACACGGACCAAACCGAAGTGGGAGCGAATATTTAAATGAGTCCTATTATGTATTCATAATTGACAGGTCAATAAAATCAGACTATAAATAACATGTACCCTTTTCTATCAAATAATTTAGTAAATATGGAGACCAATTTTTGATAAACAAACTTCTGACAGTGCAAAATACATTTTGGAAGGATGTTTTTACTGGGCTCATACAGTTACATAAGCAGTACCCTAGGAACTTGAGTGAATTTTGCTCACTTCCTGTTTGGCATAATTCTATGTTTAAAATAGGTGGTTCTACTGTTTGTTTCTCAAGATATGTAAATTGTTGTATTATATTGGTTAATGACTTCCTAGACAATAGAAGAAATTTGCTATCATTTGATGAATTTTTAACTAAGTTTGATATAAATACCAATTTTTTAGAGTATCAAAACATTATAGAGTCTATTAGGAGATTTTAAATCAGCTGTCTTTAAGGCACCTACATCAGGAAGATGAAATGCCTATTCAGCCTTTAATGATCAAGATAATCAATAGTCAAAAGAAGGGACTTAGACAAATCTATGATTATATTCTTAGAGCAAATATATCATCTATTGCTCAGAGAAAATGGGAAGATGAACTCAATTTAAATGATGATTTTAATTGGAATGGCATTTATAGGCTCCCTTTTAATATTACAAAGTATAAAGTCAATCACAGGATACTGGCAACAAATTATCCTTTACATAAAATGAGAATAAAAGATGTTAATACATGTTCTTTTTGCAACAACCATATTGAAACTATAAAACATTTATTTTGGGATTGCCAATTAAGTTCTTCTTTTTGGGAAGATATAAAATCATGGATAAATTCAAAATGTACAGATGTTAACACACAGTGGACCTTAACAGATATTATTCTATGCAATAAACACTTAGATAATGCAACATTGAATTTAATTCTGCTGGGAAAGTATATTCTTTATCGGTGCAAATTAAAGAACACAGTTCCAAACTTTTTAAAAACTATGTCACTATTCTTTTGAGAACACAATTATATAGTGCAAAAAAAAACAAAATAAGGTTTCAAAGTTTGACAATTTATGGGGAAAATATATTTCTTTGCTGCCTAATTGAGATTAATGTTTTAAGATCATTTATATATGCTTGATCCACTCTGTATTGCACCCACTGCCCTTTTTTGTATCTTTATTTTTTAAACACCTTGAATGACATTTGGTCTTTTTTAATCTTTCTTATAATATTAATGCATAAAGTATTAATGACAAGAGGTACAACTCTTAACTGGATATCAATTTTAAAATAGTAGGAGTTGTTTCCCTTGAATTAATGACATTTTTTTTCCAATGCAAGTTCAATGTTAAATTGGAATTTCCCCTTATGTTAAATAAGTTCTATAATAATGTAAAGTAATAAGTTCCGAAAATGAATCTTTTGCTTATATTATACTAAAAAAAAGTCTGGTATTAAAAATTTGTCAACTGGTAAGATACTATTGAATTATATTATCTTTATTATATTTATAAACTTTGTAGATTCTTAAAAGAAATCTCTTATTCCTCTTTAAATGTATATCTCAATATTTTGTATAAATATGCATAAATGTATTGTATTATGTAAAAAATCTAAAAAAAAAAAAAAAAAACCTATATAAAACTGATGAGCCCCCTAGCTGGGACCCTTTTGATCCTAGGGGCATAAATGACAATTGGTTTTGACAAGAATTTTAAAGACTTTTTTAAAGAAGAGGGCCAAAATGGCCCTAGTTCGCTCACCTAAACCATCAAACTCATCCGAACAATTACCTAGACAAGTTTCATGACAAATGTGTCAAAAATGTGATCACTAAAGTTTTTACAAGGATTTTTCTTATTTGAGTAGTGTGACCTAGTTTTTGACTCCAGGTGACCCATATTCAAACTTGACTTAGAAATCATAAAAACAAACTTTCGGATATTTCGATCAAAACAGTAGCCACTAGAGTGTTAACAAGATTTTTCTACTTAAAATCCTGTGACCTAATTTTTCATCCGAGATGACCCATGTTCGAAATCATTCGACAAGCATCCTGACCAAGTTTGTTAACAATCAAGTCAAAAATGTGACTGCTAGAGTGTTAACAAGGTTTTTCCATATCTGGGCTGTTTGACCTAGTTTTTGACCCCAGGTGACCTATATTCAAACTTGGCCTAGAAATCATCAAAACAAACTTTCAGACCAATTTCCAGGATATTTCGATCAAAACAGTAGCCACTAGAGTGTTTACAATATTTTTCTATTTTTAGCTTCTGTGACGTAGTTTTTCATTTGAGATGACCCATGTTCTAGTTTATTTGAGCAATTACCTAGTCAAAATCCTGACCAAGTTTGATGACAATTGAATCAACAAGAGCCCGGTTTGAGCCGGATGATGCTCCCCGAATAGGTTTTGGACACAGGAAAGTACACCTCTTGTAGTTTCAGAGTTATGTCCCTGGAAAAAGTTCAAAGTGCAATAATTCCAAAATTAGGCAAGGCAGAGTAACTGTTCTTTGCACTGCACTTCTAATCAATGTGACCTATTAACTTACAAAGTTTATTGTTGATATCTCTTATGGTTTCTGAGTTATGTCCCTGACAACTTCAAAAAGTAATTATAAACAAAGGGCAATAACTCCAGAATTAGGCAAGGCAGAGTTATGATTCTTGTGCACTGCACATCTACCCATTGAGATATATCTATCTACTAAGTTTCATGTTGATATCTCTTATTGTTTTACAGCTATGTCCTGGACAAGATTTTTCTAAAAGGGGAGATGATTAAAAAATGAGGCTTAATAGAGTAATGGTTCTTTTGCACTGCACTTCTTCTCAATGAGATCTATCTACCTACAAACACGGGGGAGAATCACGCCGTTCGTTACCCAAACAAACAAGATGGCGGATGCAGCCAAAAAGTAGGTTTTTCCCTTTTTTCTCTGAAATTCGCGATGTTCTAATGTAAAAATACATATTACAACCTTCTCCACAATTTTCCTGGCACACAGGATTTTATTTCATGATGTTTCGTCCCGTACTTCATCTGAAATGGGCGTCACCAGATTCGAAGCGAGAGAATTTTCCACTGGCTTGATCGTGGTAACATACGGCTTTTTCTCTAAAATTCACTGTTTGGTTTACATATATGTGTATTTACTGAAACCACTGACTTTAAAGTATAAATACCAGCCGAAATTTTCTTTAGTAGTTACATAATGAACATTTTCACTTCAAAATTGATCTTTAAACCACTTATAAATAGGTCTCTTGTATATACATATACATACACACATATACATGTACATACAT